TTGAAGGAATTCTTTCTGGTTATGTTTCTACCATTATTGTTATTTCACTGTCATACGCTAATTTCTGTTCATTATTGTACTTCTTTTATCTTATACGCAACTTTCATTCTCTATATCTTCACATTCTCATTATTATTGTGTGGCGCATGTATATCTGGTGCCCCTTTGTACCAATATTTATGTGTTCAAATAAATAAATAAAGCACATAAATATCAGCTGCTGTATTTCGACCTAAAAGTTCAGTGTTTAACAACGTGTGCTCACTATTTAGTTCTTTCGTCCACCAGTTTTCAAAGCGATCTAAATAAGTCATTGTGATTAAGTATTTTACTTATATCCTGTAAATCACCTCGTTATCTCCTGAAAAGTCTTCTAGTTTTATAGTTTGTGCTTCCATTTAAGGACATCCATCCTCGAAAATGTACCAATGATTCCTCAACAGTGGCTAACGACAGAATTTTCGTACTGTCATATTTTATATCAGCAACGCTTATGGCATATTTATACCAGAGAAAATTTGATAAAAATTAGTCATTATCAGTCTACTTAAAATTTCGATGCTTAGGTGTTTGATGTCTAATATCTTTTTTAAATGGTTTTCGCTTTGTTCTAGGTTACAGGTGCTGTACTTGACAAGTCTGGTGATGTACGGTATGTTTTAAATGGTACATGGGATGATTCACTCGAGTATGCACCTGTAGTGAGCACGAGACATTCACGTAATGGAAAACCAGTATTGGAAACTGGGCCCGCACGTGTTCTGTGGCAAAGTAATCCTTTACCACCTGATGCAGAACGAATGTATTGTTTCACGCGTTTAGCATTGCAGCTGAACGAACCTGATGAGGATGTATGCCCTACTGACTCTCGTCTGCGTCCTGACCAACGTCTTATGGAAGCCGGTCGTTGGGATGAAGCTAACAGGGCGAAAGTAGAACTTGAAGAACTACAGCGCCAACGGAGACGCCAAATGGCTGCCGAATTAGCCGCCCAGTCACTTGCTTCTAGCAAACAGGACGAAACGAGCGACACACACAGTAAATCTGAAAGCTCCGTTTCTGAACAATATAACAGTCAATCAAGTCCGTCTGCTAGTAACTTGCGTAAGTTCTCAAGAGTTAGTGGGTTTCTTGTTGCTCTTTCATATATCTAATATTATTGTTGTTTTTTTATTTAGAGTCTAGGCATGTGAATACCATTTATGTTTTTTGTATAAATTCCATTATCATTATCACCGCTTGATTACTCGTCATTTCTGCATAGATGCACTGAAGAATAGTTTCGTTTTTGACTACACTTTGGAACACAAAACGTGGGGAAAATAAGATTTTTAGAAGTATTCAGAATATTCAAAATAACTTGCGTAGTTACTTAACAGTTTGTAACGTCAAATATACAAGTAGTGTGATATGGTGAGTTTTAAGTTACACATTCTTTGTTGAATAAGCACTCACTTATAAAGCGTCTTCACTACACATTTACAAGTTTAGACAAGGGATGTTTTCCTTATTCTGTAAAGAACAATGATATTTCGCTAAATACATATAATGCCTTGATCATGTATGTATCCTATCAGTTAGTGGTGTTCAAACTGAGAATTATCTCCTGTAATATATTCTTTTTTGGGGTTGCAGGTCCGAATACACACACAGTTGTGACTTAAGGCCAAGTAAACAAATTTGTACTTGTCTATTGAGTTCTATTACTAAATTAACATATCCTGCTTCGTGTAATAAATGTCATGTTACTAATGGTTACTCATTAATTTCATTTTTCTAGTCGATATTGTTGATAGCCAGCATAAACCATTGTGGTTTACAAAAGAATTCGATCAATTTACAAACAAAGAAACGTATATATTTACTGGGAAATACTGGGAGCACAAATTAATTCATGATTGGTCAATGTGCCCGAAGATCTACTAATCTTCATAAGTGCAGAAAAAGGGGATATACATATTCGCCGTACTATTATTTTTAACTCTTTTTTTCTTGCCAGTGAATAACTAAACTAATCGTGATAGATATTATTTGTTTCCGTGTTACAGATACGGAATTATTCTTATACTCTTACAACAGTTATAATATATTGAGTATTATCAATATTCGAGATTGGTATGCACACACTTAGATTTGTAATCGTATTCGAATAATTCAAGGTCATTCTCATCAGTGTCAGTAATTTTTCAAGAAGTTACCCTTTCTCAGAAATACACATTTTTTCTTGCGTTCTCTGATTTCTGTGAACGATCATGAAAAGAAGTCATAAAGTTTAGTCTGATGCTTATCAGTACTAACACTCTCATATGCGTATACTGCATTAGTAACTATTTAGTGTGACTGTAGTTCACTTTTCTCACTTGACTCCGTCCAGTTGCATCTGATAGCTATTTACTTCTACTTATTAGCAAACAAAAATTTTCAGTCAAATCCAAACGTTACTCTGATTTCTTACATCAGGTATACAAACTAAATCCTGCTATTTGATTCATGGTTGTTTCTTTCTCCATACATGTTCTTGATCAGTTATTTACTTTTGTGAAGAAAAAGCATCATATCTGTCTATATTTAATCGGCATGTTCATTTCTATTTTTCCACCTGTTCCTTATTTGTGTAGCATAAATTTCTCCTAGTGTTTACAAAAGACACTCATTTTGTGATTAAAAGCCCTCACTCGGTTTAATCTTCCCTATGTTGAATATTATGTTCTACTCGTTTCTCTGTATGATTCGATTTAACTAGAGCTAGTGAACTTTGTGCACTGACGTGATCTTTTTCGCTCTATTTCTGTTACTTGTATAATTTTTCAATGAAGCAAAAAACCTTATTCAGCATTCAAATTAAGATATATGATAAATAATGCTCAACTTTCTGTGGAATTTCGTATTTTAACGTTGCATACTAATTGAGAGTTAATATCTAATACTGGATTTACCTTGGAACTGCAAACCATGAGTTTTGAAAATATATATGTTATAACCCCACACTAATCGGTGTTGTGCAATGCCAAATTAATCGGTAATTATTTACTAGCTGATTAAAGGATACCATGCATTTTAATAAAAGGACATTGGCCACCACTTGAGATAACTTAAAAGTGATAAAAATATGTTAAGACTCGTATTTCAACATCATTTACGTTTTAATTCTTCGCTTTAATTTCAGTAAACACCCTATCATTTTTTATTCAGATAGACGGATGTAAAAATGTTAATCGTGTGCATTGTTTCTCAATCTGACCTTAATCATATCAGTTACTTGTGTGAGTACAGTTGCTCTGTCGCATAAATCGTTAGATGAAAATTGGTCCGTCTCATGCAATTGCACCGGGAAGTTAATTTAGATACACAAAGTAAAATAAGGAATATTTTCTAGGCGCAACTGTTTTTGTTCTCTTACTAATACGCAACTGAATCATCAGACCACAAAAGGGCTTGTTCGTTTTTACCCGGTTTTACCCCAGGATTTGGCTAGAACTATTCCTTATGAAATTTTGTAAGTAAAATTCAAGGAGTCTAAATGTCTGCGTTATTTTATTTTTCGGAATTAATGTGTGGAATTCGAGGTGCAGCACGGCTGTCTCTCCTGCTTTCCAGGATATTATTGCTTATATTCCTGGAAGTGTTGTTACCAACCGAGATAGCCACAAACGTGAACTGTCAGCGTAATCCCAATGATCTCTATCTACAGTATTAATCTAACTCAGCGCGCATCCTTTATGTTTTACAAGGGAAGTAGACCATACGAACAGTTAAACAGCTGGTGCGATTTATTTGCAAATAAAGCTGTCGGAAATTAAGTTTTTGTGGACTTTTGGGAAGACATGCTGAAGGTCAGTTTAACCGCGTCAGACACTGCGGATATTTCTAACCTGTTCTTTATTCTGTTTGGTCCTCACAACATAGCTTAAAGTATAAGCTTTCTCCATTTGTGTGCGTTCTGGACAGTTTATTTAAGATATAAAGGTTCACATGATACCACTCCACTCATGTATTCAGGATATCCACTTACCCCGTGTATTTTATATGGATTTACTGAGGAAGCTTGTACAGCAGGGTTTTTAATGTAACAACTTCAATAGTTTGACCTATTCCAACACGCTAACGATACTTACCAAAATTTTGAATGGTTTGAGTGCAGTGGTACAGGTTGTCGAGAAACAAAAACATTATGGCTCAGTAACGGATTAGTTACAGCTGATAATTGGACTGCTTTTGCTTCAGGACTGACCTGCGTCATCACCTGAACTAAGGATAGGGAGTGAAGTAGTCCAACGCGTTGACACTTTCACTTATTATGGGAGTCTGATCAGCCCCAATGGGTTGATGTCTGACGAAACTTCAGCACGGATTCGAAAAGCACGTTTGGCATTTGTCAACTTACGTCACCTATGGCGAAGGCGAAATGTCCGTCTATCAATAAAAGGACGAGTATACTGCGCGGCTGTTCGTTCTGTTTTAATTTACGGCAGCGATACATGGCCATTAAGAGTTGAAGATACTCATAAGCTACTAGTATTTGACCACAGATGCCTTAGAAATATTGCTGGGATCACCACGTAAGTAATAGTGAGGTTAGACGCAGGATATTAGGAAATGATGGTAAATCAGTTGATGAGGTTGTTAATCTTCATCGACTGAGATGGTTGGGCCACGTGTTACGTATGCCTGAACACCGATTACCACGACGTGCAATGTCCTATGTTGTAGCTGATTGAGCTAATGTCCGACAATCGAGGGTCTTAGCAATCAGTTTGGATGCTCACAGCAGGTTATAGAGAGCACTCCAGTACTCACTGTTAAAAATATCAATTTATACAATCCCTATCAGTCTTTGTAATTTCTTAGGTGGATGCACTTTTAACATTTGGTTTCGACATTCATTGTAGCTGGGAACATGAAACTCCAAGGATAAAATACAGTTTACAGCTTCCTATCGGGCAAAATAATAATTATTATTTGATTAATTTAATCCCGTCATTATTAAATAAAAGAATATCTATTGTTAAGGAAATCTATAATATACATGGAACATTCAAGAGATATAGTCAAAATTTTCAGGTATTTCAAACTGGCGACAAAATGTAGCTTCATCAAGAGAAAATTTGTTATTTAACCATGACTTGATGATAAATATATTATCTGCAGATAAAATGGTAAATAAATAACGCTAATTTAGGTTAAAATTCCATGCTTGATCAGTAACAAGCAACACAGTAGAGTAAGTTTCGTTGTTTGCTGCCTTTTTTCTACAAACATAACCTTTACACAACTATTGTTAAAGCGAACCCAGTGGATGCGAAGAAAATAAGTATATAGGTGTAACGTACTCTAAACTCCATTCAGTCACAACATTAACAAGGACGAACAATGTTATTCCTAACCCCTATGAAAGTGTTAGGATATTCGGAAAAATATACCAATGATTATCATGTTAAGTCTAATGGTGTCCTTGGACTTTAAATGGACATTCCCTATTGGTCAATATTTATTTCACTTGTTAAATATTGTAAAAGTGTTGTTTTATATTTTGTGGTATGGTTGATTGGTATATAAACAAAGTATGTTTGAAATATAACGATTCATAACTCAGAGGCTGAGACTTATGTTCTGGACTCAACTGGCTGGGCTAGACAGCGAAGCAGGGCCAATCGGGACTCTAGGTCGTCCGTACGTGTTTTACGTGTCATTTATCTGATCAATAATTCGCTGCGCATCTGATCTGCAGTCACACGTTACAACAGAAAGCTATTTAAGACGCTTTGTGAAGAAAATCCAAGACCATCGGCTTATGATTTAGACACCCGAATATCAAATTTTGGGAACAATTACAAGCTATTCTCTGAAAGATAGTGATTTTAACTCTATTAGCAAAAACTGATGGTCTGGGTTCTGTTGTCAGGTGTAGACCATCTGGTTGACATCCACACGATAACAGTGGTAAGTAGGTAGAAACGCAGGGATCATTCACAGTGGCTTATATGGATTTTCCGTTCATCTTCCATTAACTCTTGAGATTCAAAGCTAATTCATACTTGTAACTCCTTAGATTCCTCTCTTCTATTCGACATAGATTTTTAAATTCTTAATTTTACAAATTAATATTGATACTATTCATGTTAATTTTACTTTGTAAAGTTAACATGGCTTAACGCGGGATTGTCCCCGACTATGCTAATCACAACTGACTAGCAGCTAAGGTGAAATTCACACGAATACATTAATGTCTGGAGTGGCGTACCTATTTATTTTTCGTTTCCGTTATGAGATCACTTTAATTAAAGTAAAAGAATATATATATAACTTACCCGTCCAACGATTAACAGAGTCAATGGCCACCAATTCTTGTTGTTTTAGCTCTAACAGGCGGTCAGGATCGTACTTTTTTAAATTCTGAAGCGTTGCACTAAGAGATTCAAGCAACAACTTTTGTTCAGTTAGCTTGTTTATAGCTCTGTTTCGCTCTTCCTATATTGTGTTCAAACATTCATCAATATGCATATTTACTGTATCTTCCCTTTTCATCAAAGCTTCGTCCAAAGCTTTAGTTGTCTTAGAAATCTGGTTGCGTGTATTTTGAATATCTTCCATTACTTTTTCTATGTTGTTTCTAAGCTAAATTTAAACATGTTTGCTATTTATATGTGACTTGCTTTTTGTGCAGCTTTACTGGGAAAAGCCCAAAAATAAACACTGGTCCCTATTTTGTCAGTATCGACCAAACCGTCATGAACAAGGCTCATCAACACATCCTTTACAGACATAGAGTTGATACCCTTTTCTTTCTGGCATAACCTCTCCAATTCCTTAAGTTGAAAAAAGTCCTTCTAAATCAAATAGTATGTCAAAATGAAAAGTCATTTACTTTCTCGTAGAAAAAATCCAACATTCTTTGCCGCTTTTCATCGAGACTCAGACCTTTTTTCTTTGACTATATTTAATTTTGACACCAGAAAGACATTAAAAATGTGCGAAAATGTGAGTTCATTCGCATACTAAAGATCAATCAGACTATTTAAAAACCAAAATCTCCATTATGTTTATTGCAAGATTGCTAATCTTTAATCCACTTCACCGGAAGCGTTCATAGTTGTTGAGGTTATCGCTCTCCGCCAGGAAATAAAAGTGTGAACTGTAAATTTAGCTAGTCAAGCGCAGTGTGAAGCTCGATTCAAGCTGTCACTTCATATTATCCAAGAGACATGACATTGTCAGAACTAATTCCAAATAAGTAAGCATATAACAGGATAATTGGTATCATGGAAGTTTAAACATAGAATATATTATCAGAAGGAATAGGAATTCGTCCAATCGTAAAAAGATTTTAAATCTAGTGACTTAGGATCTAAGGGAAGGAAGGTCAGTCACACTAAACACTTGACTAACAAGTGCCATCCAAAATCTACGAGACCAGCTAGTGTAAATCAACTAATTCCTTTGAGATGTTACGGTTCAGTTTCAGGTCTAATGTAGATAGTCTAGCCACTAGGCTGAACTAATTCTAATCAATTTGACGGTCTTTCAGATACCGGTATGTCCTGATGATACGTACGTATGATTCACGTGAATGAGTTTGTCCCATTGCAGTACGGTTGCTGGAAACAGTAACTATAGACAGAGCAGTTATCGACGTAAGAATTCTCAGAACTTGGAATATAGAAACTGCGAGAGAGAAAGAGTTCGATTTAAATAAACGAATTAATCAACTGACCGATAGGTCGCTCACTTAAGTAAGTAACAAACAATCCGGAAAGATAGGCCTATCTCCAGGTTTTGGAGAATGTTGTGGTGTTTGCGCCATTTTCCTAAAGAGCCTATCGTGACTTCCTCAAAATGAACAAAATTTTCTACCACCCTGTTAACAGGGATGTTGCAAGATGGGCATATAAATATCTATGGATCAGCGTTATTAAACTCAATAGTACTGAGAAATGTTTGACTTAATTAGGAAATAAAGATGATTCATGATACTGAAAATCACTCTGATACTGTATAATACTTAGCAAAAGCATTCCATACCATGTTAACCAAAGTATAGAATTTTGAAATATAGACATCTGAAGGTCAACTTTAGGTTATCGCTGTAACAGTTAATTTTGGTAGGTTTGCATCTAGCTTGAATGTTCGTTGTAATCTGGGGGATTATGAAGAGCATTGCCTGTGAGTAAACATCTAAGGCAAACGAATCAGAGTAAAAGTGAACAGACGATTCAATAAACACACAGAATAGGTATTGACCATAGTGTTCTAAAACCTTTGGTCGTTAACGTATGGTAGTGTACAGAAGTTTTCTAGTCTTGGCTTATGATGACTTCTAAGTTATTATGTGTCTGGACAATAGGTAGCTCAACGCTATTCACTGTGTATGTATCTTTATATCAGTGATCAATGTGCATGACAATGCACTTGGAAGCATTTATCGGCAGCTGAAAATTTTTAGTCCGGTCAGATTATTTTCTCAAGTCATTTCGAAGCTGTAAACCATCAACTTTACTTCTTATCGCTCTCAGTATCTTGACATCGTCAGCACAAAACAAAACCGATAATGACAGGAGATTAGTAAGCTTATCACATACAAGAGGAACAACACTGACCCCGAAACTGTACGCTGGCGCACTCCGCTAAGTGCAGTTTTTTGCTAGGTATTTTTTAGTTCACCTGTACTCTTTGTTGGAGCCCAAGTGGGAAGTCTTTTATCGACACAAACAAAGCGCCTCTAATTGTAATATTACTTAAACTATATAACAGCCTTTTGTGAGGAACTTTGTCAAAAGCCTTTCTGAAGTCAATGTAGGCTACTTCTATGGGTAACTTTCAATCTTTAGGAGCGCACCAAATCTCACGGGCTACAAATAAGTTTGTGAGGCACTTGATGTCCTGCTCTAAAGACATACTGCTTTTCAGAAAGAATCCGATTTTTGTTACGACACTTATACAACTTCCGAATGATCTTTTCTAAAATTTTAACAACCTCTCAGATTAGGCTTACAGGTCTATAGTTCTCCGGTTTATTTCTCGTACGTCTTTCGAAGATAGGACTTATTATGACATTCCTCTAGTCTTCTGGTAATCGACCCTGGGTTACAGATGGATACCAACCAAATTTGCTAGTTCCTTTAGTAACCTAGGATGCATTTCATTGGGCTCCATGGATTTGTCTATATCAAGCTCATTTAGCAGACCAAAGACATCGAGTTCTTCAATGGTCAGAGTGTCCAGTGTATGTGGTGGAGTGGTTTGTACGAACTGAGGGGGAGGGCATCTCTATGGTGTAGATATTGCTAAAGCAGTTCTAGAATATCTGAGCTTTACCATAGTCGTCCTCCATCAAAGGTGAAGTATTACTGTCTCCATAAAGTGCTGGAATATTTCGTATTCTCCTAGTTCTTTGGTTTATGTACAAGTGTGAGCGTTTCAAATATTTTGTAAAATCGTTAACAATCTTTTCTTCGTACAATTTTCTAGACTTGCAGAGGGTCGAGGTAAAAAGATTTCGAGCTTCTCAGTCCTGTGATTTCGTCTTGTCAGTACCCGGTATTTTAAATCTCTCCTGTGCTCCTCTTCTTACGAGGAAGGGAGCGAACCTACTTACTGAATCGTGTTGGAGGGTCTCTCGGGCTCCTTAGTGTGGTCCAAATTATGTGTGGTGCAATGACTTTTAAGTACGCTTTTTGGATACATCCCAAGGCGTCTTAGTAAGGAGAACAGGTTCTATTATCCAATTCAATGAGGATGCCGAGTGCATAATACCTTGTATATCTGCTCCCTAGATGTTTGGTCTAAATCAGGCTGACGCGTGCTCCTCCTTTACTCTTCTGGATTCTGTCGTCTCTTACTAATGTGAAGCCTTGAAAATCAAGTTCCTTACTATCTAGTGTGGCTGCAATTGAATCCGGTTTGGCGGTCTGGCTGTACAAACAAATAAATAAAAGTACAACTAAAATAACTAAAGGGGGAGAAAGAATAAGAAATTGTCGCGTTATCCTAGGCCATAGAATGACTTAAGGATTACCAAGGTAAATTCAAGGTTACGACAAATTGTTTTTGTACACCTTTATTGACCTTTATTAATTTTCATATAAAAATGCCTTGACAAGTATATGTGTGACCAGATTGTTCGAAATGTATAGCGCAAATACATCACATTTTTCAGATCAACTCAGTCTTCTCATTGTTCTATCGAAATTTATAAAAGGGACTAATTGCTTTAAAGTCTTTAATTTCTTAGCTACTTTTTGGGAAATGGTCTTTTCTTTGTCAGCATTAAGTTATTTATTATTTCCGATCTCTATCCATTTACCAACGTTCGTTGCAATAGCAACCACAGTTGCACCACTTACGCTGCGAGATTCTGAATGATTATCTACGATCGGCTCATGTAAGTCAATCGATTATGAGCATATCTGAGGCAAATCCACACTAATTCGTGCATCGACTGAGCGAGTACTGTTTGATGTGCTTCAATACTCCTTTTAACAGCATTCATCACTGCAATGGATTCGGATAGCAAGCTGTTCGCGTCCGAAGAGCGCAACTACGCGTAATTATTTTTGATGTACCGTTTGAGATCAACGGGCGTTAGATTCATGAACATTTTGACAAACCATTATTTGCACTCATCTCTTTGCATGCCACTTCCCATAAAGTATGGACAGCCTGGGAGTTGGTAACTTCTTTTTTCGCTGTCCATTCATCAATCAGAGGTTTTCAAGAGAAACTAGACAAAAGCAAAGCCCAGAGAGAAGAGAAACAGATGACCAGGAAAAGTCAAAAACTTTAAACTGTCAGAATCAGAAGTGCGGACAAATACAAGGAACCGGTGTACTCAGAAGTACAGATGAAAAGATACTTAAGAAGAAAAACAATACTCTTGACGAATACGTTAGAAATACATTTAGTTATTCCGAAAAAGTAGATTTGATGTGTAATATATGATCAAAACCATAAAATTAGCTCAACGAGGAAAAGTAACACTATCTTTTTCAAGTAGAGCACGACAGATGGTCGGGAAAAATGGAATTTAAGTCCAGACCAGTCGGTTGAAGACGCCAACTGCAACGTATTATTTTGTGTTTCTTGATAATGATCACAGATTAATTTCGCAGCTACTGGTGATGTCTCAGGGCAAATTTATATGTTGCAAATGTTTTCTGTTGTACACCACAGAGATGCTGAAAAAAAGGGAAAAAGGGAAAGGCGATAAGCAGCACGGATAGTGTTCATGACTAGTGTGGTTTAGTCGTTTTTTATGGTATGACTACCAAGAATCATCCACTTTTATTAGGTCGATTTCTAGGTAAATATATTTTACTAGGTTAAAGGAAGAAGGCCAAAGTAATGTGTTTAATGAATGAGAGATTGTCTAAATGGAACTAATTTAAAAACCTGAAATTTAAGGATTGTGTATTTTAAAACTTTAGCTGGAAAACTTTGAACGACAACAAGCGTTTTTACGTCAAGATTATTACAACTTACTTTAATTTTTATAACTTTTGCTGTCATAAGTGAACTCTTATTTGGCGTAACTGTCCAGTTTTGCTTGCAATTGGATTTCTCTGTACAAAGTAGAACCAAATCACGGTTACAAACATGAGTCAAATAGGTATTTAGCACAATAAACTAACGTCAAGACCGTCAATTTGATAAAGCCCTCTTAGCCATAATTGACCGTAATTAAACAAAAGGTTCTGCCCTTGAGATAAGGGTGGACCGAAGTCATCTCCTGTTTATCATGCTTGCTGGTCAGTAATACCACCCTCTCTCCTCTTGTGATGTTGGGATCTTTCACATTTGTGGGATGTTTGAGTATTGCCTTAATATAGGCTTTTTGTTGCAAACCCTGTCGGAATACATTCTCTACCAGTTCAGTTTTATAAGCAAATCAGACATCCAACTATTTTTTATTGTGGGTTAGACCTTCAGTTGGTATATCGCACTGACGTGAGGTTAACTAATGATACAAGTTATAAGATAATAGTCAACTAATTAGTGGGTTAGAGATTACAAGGGCAAGCAGCTGACGGAAGAATATGAAAAAAGTGTTCATGGTTGCGAAATCGATTACTAGAACGATAAGCAAGTAGGAAAACACAAATATTTGGATGCTAGTAGTAAGAAGGAAATTTTAACTTTTAGGAAATGAACTACAAGAAACCCATAATTATTTAGGATTTTCTGAGCTTTCTATGATCGCTAAAGTTCAGCATCACTCGAAAGGTTAGTAATGTATCTTTCTGCATACTAATGAGTGGAAAGTCACTTTGTTCAATGTTCAGTACCACCACCAAATCTTTACTAGACACTAACATCTCCTCTAAAGTTGCTTCCACACCATTTACTCCCTATATCAATCAATAGACCAGGTCTAAATTGAGAAAACTGTAAAGAATGTAATATATATAAAAAGACTTCAGTGTTTTGCAACAGATATACTCTATACTTGAAAGAGTGCAAAGTCAACAATACAAACATAAACAGGCAGAAGAATGAACTGAGCTCACTGCTGCATCTAAAGCCCAAAAGTTTTGTCGTCATCTTGTAAAACACATAAGAAAAAACTCAGATGAAAACATTCACTCCTTACTGCAGGATGTTGTTACATATTATGACCAAACCGTCATATGTGAACTATTTAGTGAACGGTTTCCCCACAACGGGAACACATCCCGCACCCCAGATATTAACATAAAGTGCATCAGCAAAAATTATCTTAGTACCGTAAACTTCGACATTAGGAGTATACATACCGCCATTAAAACCCTGAAGTCAAATGTGAGTCCTGGAGCCGATGACATTCCATCAATCCTTTATGAAATGTCAGGACTGAACATACAGACGCTATTACTCAAAATATACACATTATCTTCGAAGACAGTTACTTGTCCCATAACTTGGAAGGTAACGTGTGTTCTTCCCAAACACAAATCTAGACCGAGAAACCTGGTCGAAAACGACAGACCTATAAATATCACTCCAGTTGTATCCCGTATAATGGAAAAAGTAGTACAAAATCAACTATCTGATCACCTGCTTAACGACGATCTAATAGACCCG